AGCCATTAGAATGCAGCGCGTTCACTCATTAGCCAAATCCCTGTTGGTATAAATACATTTAATGCCATTCAGGAGTGTTATTTCTCGACATACATGCACATAGGGCATGGCATCTACAATTATCCAGCTCCAGACCCTAGGCTCTGACATCTGTTTCCTAATGACAGATAATTACATGCTGTCAAGTGCAATCATTGGCAGTTGCTGCTAAGAAACTGGGTTTGGAGTGCGACTGGTGCAGCCATGTTGGTTCCAGAGGAGACAACAAAACCTAAGGGGGGGAGTAGGGGGATGCTATGCTACACTCCTTTTGAATTTGAATATTAGTCTGAGTGTGTGTTTTTGTAAGTCTGCCTGTGCATATGCATGTGTTTGAGAGTGTGTGTGGTGAATGATGGCATCTGTGGGATTAGTAGTGAATAGGTAGACATGTGAAGATGTGGACTTTGTGTGTGAACTCTGCTGCCTTCTGGAATCAGTCTGTAGTTGTCTAGATAGACAAACTGATTCAGGTTAAGTTTTGCGTTTGCTCGGTCAATGCAGTTGTTCTTCCAGTGGTTAAGAAATGACAGTCTTCTGTGAGGAAATTCTTACACTGAACCCTAGCAACATCTTAAGATGTTTTCATAAATTTATACCTTTTTAATACTAAATTTGTAAAAGTTGAACTATTTCTCAATGAGAATGATGGAAAACTGACAGTGATTTACTGTATTAAATGTAGGGCTTGAACTAGGGTTTATTTTCATCACTGATGATCTACCAGTTCTTCCCTTGATCAATTGAATAAACATTTGCCCAAAGAAACTCATAAAACAGCCAGAACTTCTTATCACAATTTTCAAAAGCCCAGAGTTATTCTAGACCTTTGTCATACTAACACTACAAAACCTAAACATGCTTTGTTTACTTTCCCATAAGACTAGGTCAGAACCTGCTATATGGCTGGACCATGTTATAGGCTATTTGCATTCTGCCTAGTGTCAGCCGGTTTCAACCCTCTTATCTCTTTTCTGATTTTGGCAATATCAACTTGTAAAATGATGTGGACCAACAGAAAAGGGACTGCAGTTTTTTTGCATTCATATTGTGAGTTCATTTGATCCACTTCAGCTCCAATGGAGCATCAGTCCTCTTTCTGTTCTCACTATAGATCCTCTGGAGCTCACAGACTTGTACTGCCTTGGATTATGGGTAGCTTTCACTTGGAACCGTGTTGCTGCTGCTATACTTGTCTTATCCACATTCCTGTGGTATTTGGTTAAATTACTAATATTGTATTACTAATTTGGTTATTAGTAATGCAATATAATACACACACACACACACACCCACACAGTGTGTATATATATATATATATATATATATAGTGTGTTAGACTCCGGCTTCCTCCCACAGTCCAAAGACATGCAAATGGGGACTAGGCTAATTGGTTACTCTAAATTGACCATAGGTATGAATGTGAGAGTGAATGGTTGTTTGTCTCTGTGTGCCCTGCGATGGACTGGCGACCTGTCCAGGGTGTACCCCGCCTCTCGCCCGAAAGGATGCTGGATGGATGGATGGATAGTGTGTTAGGGCAGTAGGGTGACCTGTTAGTTGACAGATTTGTCCTTTTGCTGGAGGGCCTAAACTAAAGCTCCATATTGTCAAGTATCTGCGCTGCTTTAGTCTCACTGAGCAAATAGTTTGATTGTTAGGTTTGATATGTTATTATTTATGTATTCATTGTTCCCATGATCGGTGTTGATCTTGTTGTCCCTTTAATGATTTAATTCTGATTCCCTACTTGTAATTGATGCCTGCCACTACAACCTTTGCTGCATGCCAGTGTGTGTGTAAATGTCTGCCACATTATTTTCAGGCCAGTTGGAAATAGTGTGTGTGAAAGGGTAGATAAGCAGATTATTTAAGGCCACTAAGATTTCACACACAGGGGCGAGTCCACGCTGTGTTGTTGCCGCTGTGTCTCTGTAGCGCTTCCACAGCGTCTCCTCAGTGACTTGGCTGACACCTCTGCTGCGTACAGCTGCCATATGCTTGACTGGTGTGTTTTGTTGTCACCTGAAAATGAAACTGACATTGTTAACATCACATCGGGTCCAATTATCACAGCCTCATAAGACGAAGAGGACACCAATTTTTGTGGTTTTTGTGATTTTGTGGCTTTTCAAATAAATGGAGACTATTTAAGGAAGCAACACCATCTATGGGTTTGTCTGCCATTAAATATGCTCTTATGTAATATAGCATGCCTGTAAAGAGGGTTAGGTCTTTACCTTTGCAAATTTACAGGGACATGTATTCCATTAACAATAACAGTGCTTGAAGGATGTTACGTGCTCTTATAAAAAGGTGTTACATTTCTTTTAAAGCATGCATGAAATATGATTTGATTATTGAATATACAGAGACTTCAGACTTGTTCAAGGAAAAAAAAAACTTTTTCTATCACTAATTTAGAAAGAATTCTAGCCAGACAAGTTGAGAAGCTATCAAAGCAGCTCCTTTTCTGATGTATCGTGCAGGAGCTCATGATAACTGGTGAGAATGTCAATTTAGACCAGTGTAAAGTCAAGCTCAGTTGTAGCCTTGAGAGATGAAACAAGGCTGGCTGTCATTCTTCGGTGAGAGGTCAGGCCGTCTCACCGTGTTTTTGTGTAGGAGTTTTTGCTCAGAGTACGGTTTTCTGCAAATGGCCTTGTACAGCACAGCCTGCAAAGATTGTGCTCTTCTGAATTTTGGTGGTTTGTGATTCATTTGGATTTGAGTTAATGAAGTTGATGGCTTTTGAATGTGTGTGTGTCCTTGCGTGTTTGTGTGTGTTAACTTGTTTAGTGTCATTTGTTATCAAAACCATCATCGTCACCAGAAGCAGTTATTCTCTATAGAGTATGTCATGCCATCAGCGAGGCAGACGTTTGGAAGATGTGGTTGTAATGATAATGAGTTGGGAGAGATTTTCCGTTTGGAAATCTTTAAGCTCTGCCATGCTTTGCCCCATGTTATTTATCCATTTGCATTTTAACTAGCCTCACCACTCTATATTCCAAATGATTTCTCTGAATCCTCTCACAGAACACTCGGGTTAATGCATGTTGTCACTAAACTTACGGCCTTAAAATGTAAATTTGCTGATATGTGCTCTTGGGGTTTTTCTCAGCATTGTGAGCCCCAACAGTGCTTTTAGCCCAGTTACCTTGGCTTCCTTCAAACACCCATGGGCTCAATAGCCTCGTGAAGGGGCCTGCGGCTCTGCTCCAGATGGCCGTCTGGATAGACAAAGCCGTTTTACTGCCTCGTCCCTGCTACATTACTCAAACGTTATCACCCCTGCCTACAAAAATCCATCTGTGCTCACACGCTAACTTGAAGATCCATCATCCTGACACTTGTATTGAAACAATGACAATAATGACAGCACGAGATGGATCTCAGAACAACACGGCACACGTTTAAACTGGCAACTTTTGTCCTAAGATCGATTTCTGGAAATGAAGTTGTCAGCAGAAGTTGTATTTTTTTTTGTAAAGAAGGGTTGTTTGAGTTGTACTTTCTACATATTCATACAGAGAAGCTGTATATCTGGCCCCCCATTGTTTTGCAAGCTTGACGGTTTTAATGAGGCCACAGAAGAGTTTCTCCTACTTAACTTTCTATTGTGGTAGCGTTTCAGTGGGAATCAATGAGGGATTTAGAATAGGTTTAGGTTCCTTACTCCTTCTGTCTTTCTCTTGCCCACTCTGACACAAGGATGCACGTATCCACACACGCGCACACACTCACACACGCAGGCTGAGGTGTAAGCACACACTTACGTCTCTGGTCTTGCAGACTAATTGGGTACACATGCTGAGCAGTGTGATTGTACAGCTTATGCTCCTTTTGTGTTTTTGTCTGAATGTGTTTTTATGTGTGCCTGTGCATGCATGTATTTGTGTGTGTATGTACATGCAAGCTTAACTTAATCAATCATCCACCTCCACCGATCTATAGTTCTTGCATAGACTGTGTCCCTGGTTGTCTGCAATGCTGCAGTGTCCTGGTTCTAAATTCCACTTCACATTACTAGAGCACAAACACTGTTTCCAAGCAATGGAGTCTTATCCTGCTTTTTACAGGTGGCCATGTCCAATTAGATTTCCATCTCGAGTCATCTTTGTAGCTTCACTCCTGTATTATCTTCAGCTTCTATTCTCAGTTTTTCATGATTTTCTCACATGAAGCATTTTTCTTTTTCCTTTTCATTGTACTCTCTCTGTCGCTCTTTTCTATAAGTTTAGGTCATATATATTACAGGTCCTGTAGGTCAAAGAATTCTTTTGTGAGGATTTTGATTTATTTGTGCATTTATATGTGCTGAGCGCTTGAGAGGGCACTCACTGTTGCATGGTTTGCCCAGTGGTGTGTGTGAGACAAGGCCAGTGACCAATGATTTTCTGACAAACGAGGTGTGCATGTGCCTCCACCAACCCATACATAACTGTCTGACCCTATCTGACCAACCAGACACCAGCTTCCTGGGAGAATTCACAGACCATCCGTACAGTAGCTCGGATCATTTTTGTATCATTAACACTGTAAGCAGCTTTAGTATTTGCAGTTATTTTGCAGTATAGAATTGTATGGCTTTCCTTTACAGACAAGTTTGGTTTTACACATTCACTACTGGTGGACACACTCACATCTGAGAGTTGCCTAGTATAACTAAAGTCTGCACTAATGGCACTGAGCAGCTCCACTGGAGTACTTTTATCTGCTCAAAGGCACCATGTGAGATGCACTAAGCTTTCCAAAATGACTTCCCACAGCAGATCTTACGCTTCCAGGCCGTGCTTGACCCATTGATGCAAAGTTACTATGTTGCTGGTCACAAGTCTGTGTCTCATTGCTCCTGTGATAACATTCAAACATGTCAGTGGTGAATTAGCCTCCATTCACAGCTGGTGTTATGTGTCCTCGCTCTTCTAATATGTGTTTGTCTTGACTGTTCTGCCCAGGTTCATTCAGGAAATAGAGATGAACATGGGGCCAGGCCAGGCCAAGCAGTGCCAGCTCCGAGCTTTCCTCACTTACTACATCAACGATCTGTTTCTCAACCAGGTTAGTGAAATGGCAGATTGGCGGCGTTACTGTCTGACAGAGTGGTATACCAGCATTCAAAGCAATGCTTTAGTGGAACATGGGAGCTTTCCAAGAGAATAAAATTCTACATATTAAAAACCTCAGCTATGGGGCACTGGAAACACTGAAAAAAACATTGGTTCTCGTTTTATGTTAAGAAAATGTATTTTAATAATCAGTTATAGAAAGTCACAGTCCGTTCTTGTGACTTAATATCAGGAACCTTTTGCACTATGTGAGATGCAAAAAAAAATTCCGCTGACACAATTGTCGGGGTCCTTGTCTTGAAAATCTATTGACCTGAATGTTCTATTGTAGCCCCTCAGGGTTTCTCCAAACTGATAGAGCTGAATAACACAATGGCAGTACTGCTGGGGACCATTGTATTATTTAATCTTTCAATATTACCTTAATAGAATAGCTGTTCTTACCCACTACACTTTAATTTCCAAGTGTGTCGTTCCACATATCTGGCCACCTGAATGGCCAGAAGACAGATAACTTCCTGTGTGCTGGTACATGAATACAATTATATCTATATAAATATAATATATATAAATTAGATTTCTTCATAAACTAAAACCCTGAAAGAATCGGCATCTTTTCATATGTTGTTTGGTCTGTTTTCTTAGTCAAACAAATGTAAAGCCTCTGTATTTACAAATATAATTGTAATTCTGCAAATGTTTGACCCTCAAGTTTTAACAAGAACTATTTACTTACTTTTTTAAACTTTTGTTTAAGCAGCATGTTTTACCCAGGCAGCCATCTGGAACCAAGCAATGTTTTACATGAAATACAGGAAACTGTTTTGCATTACAGTGACTGATGGGAATATTTTCACCTACAGGAAGTGTCAAATCCAAACTAAGACAAATACTCAGAAAAAGGAAAAAAGGAAAATACAAGGCAATAAACAAATGAGTTGTTCTTTCAGAGAAAGCTGGATTACTGTTGCTTGACTCCCAATGGAAAACAGAGTGGTGCATGTGGTCCTGCTGTCTCTTACCCATTTAATGTATACTGTTTTCACTGAACCATTAGGTGCGAACAGAGATCAACAAGGAAATTGAGGCAGTGAGCAAGGCATCCGACCCCTTGAAGATCCTTGCCAGCGCTGATACCATGAAGGTTCTGGGTGTCCAGAGACCTCTGCTGCAGGTGAGGAACATCCAAAATATTCAAAACACAAATTATATACTTGCATGGAGGGAATGAATTTTAATAAACACCTGCACAATATAAGGAAGTTCAGTCCAACATCACAAAACATGGCCTTAGAAATGACCATAGAGTTGAATCAACAGCCTGCTCAAAAAAAGTGGCCATCACAAGCTTCACCTCGTGTTACTTTGGGAATGGAAATTTATTGTGCAAGTGTTAACAACGTGTCCTCAAGTCGTATTCTCTATTTACCACCAGTTCATGCTTTGAGGAGTCTCCTTAATTTAAATTCAACAGATTTTTGTTGACACAGGTTCAGACACATACGTTTGTAGCATATCCACATGTGACCAGTTAGAGAGGCTTAAGCAGTCACACTACCTGTTTGTTTCCCCCCCGTTTCTCCTTTATACCCCTGTTCAGTGGAGGAGGGCTCTCTTGAGTACACTCACCCTGCAGTTTTCTGTGATCTCTGTGGGGTTCAGGGACAGGCGAACACACACACACACACACACACACACACAGACACACACACACATACTTCCACACACACTCTCACCCTCTCTGTTTCTTTTTCAGATCACTATTCCCACCCTGCCACCTATTTCACAGCATCATAATTGTGGCTGAAATAGTGCTTGAGTTTGTAGCTGTTAGTAACTGGTGGTTACATTAGTTACCACACACACACACACACACACACACACGTACCTACGTTTCTACCATTCTCTTTCTCCCAGGGCCATTTTGTACAGAAGGTAAGTCTGTGATTGCTGACCTATCCAGAGAAGTACACTTTCAAGCCGCACATGACACACACTCCATGACTGTATCACTGCATGGCCACTCTGGTTACAGGTTCACTGTGCTCTTGCTTATCGTAGGGAAGTCTTTCAATTTGATGCAAGCTGTGTGTTTGGTGTATGTGTGCAAGTATATCTGTCTGTGTATGTGTCTGTTCATTGGTTCCCTTGAAAACGATCAGTTAACTAAAATAACACTAAAAACATATTTCCACCCATATCTCTAAGGGTATTTGGCAATGCAGGTTTTGGTTTTTGTCTGTGTTGATGTTTTGAGATATCAACCTCTGAAATGTATGCTGCCACCCCAATGAATGGAAGTGAATGAAATTTCATCTGTGCTGCTCAAAATTACATTTGAAATTTTTTATCCAAAGAAACAGTGTAAATTAAAACTGCTAAACGTAACTAAGCACTAAAAACACAAAAAATGAACTCATTGATTGAACCACATTTAACCACAGACTCATCTTGCTGATTTTGGCAGCCAGTTGTATTCAAAACAGGCTCATGGCAGGTTGAGGATTACAGCAGTGCCAAAGTCAAGATCCAGGCAGTTGGCAAGATTTTTGTATGTCTCAGCTGTCAGATATTTTTGATATTTGATGGAGTGCAACTCTCTATGTCTACAATATAGTAAAAATGTATGTTGCACATGCATATATATTTTTTGGTGTGTGTGTGTGTGTGTTTTTCCATGCAGTTATCATGGAAAACAGTGTCCCAGAGAGGTAGCTTGTTTGTATTGTGGGTGCTTGTGTAGCAGAGCTTAGAAGTGTGTTATTCAGAGTGTGTGTGTGTGTGTTTGTGTGAGTGTGTGTGTGTGTGTTTGTGTGAGTGTGTGTGTGTGTGTGGGCGCGCGCGCGTGTGCGTGTGTGTGTATGGGTTTTCTTTTTTTGTGTGTTTTGTGGTGTGTTTGTTTCTGTCAGAGGCTTCCTGTCTGTGTGCCTGGTTCTCTCACAGGGAGGGAACAGCGGTGGCAGTTCATTACAGAGAGAGAGACCGTGGGCGTTTGGAGTTCAGCAGGGTTTGTTTACGGCTCAGGCCCCTCCTTAACGAGGAGTGCAGCATCTTGCTAATTATGCTGCTGTGGCTAATGAGCTTTTCTGCTGATAGTGGGGAGTGCAATAAAGCACTCCTTTTGTTTGGGCTTTTTGCCTTTTTTAATTGGGCTAAATAAAAGAGCCTTCCGCTCTTCTTCTCCTGCCATTCACATTCAAGGGTCAGGATGGTATTTGTGTGTTTGTGGTACTTTTTCATGTGTGTATTTGTAGCCATGTGAGTCTGTTTTGCTACCTGTGTGTGGTTGTAATTTTGGTCCCCAATTTGAGAGCCTTCCCACTGTTTTCTTTGATGGCCTTCATCCACAGTGTCACTGTTATGACAGACCGCTCTCTTCCTCAGTGTGTAGTTTTATTCACTTAGTTGTCATGAGAGCTTTTGATAAAGGGGCTTGACACCTTTTTATCCAGGGAGTATAAACTAAAGTAGGTTTTTGAACCGGGTTTGCACAAAGCGCTTTATGTCAGGAGCTTCTCACCAGCCAGGTGGTGAATCTATCCAACTCTGTGACTGCAATGGATAATTAAAGATTATAGTGGCAGTGCTATATAATGGTTGCTAGACTTTCCAATAATGGAGCAGATGTGGTTGTGTGTGTCCATGTGTGTCTACATATCTATGCATAGATTCGTGTGTCAGCATGTTCATGCGCACACATGTGCTGTATGTGCTCCCTTGAAGTGCTATGATACTTTCTGTGCCAGGTGTTATCAGAGAGAGACACACACCGTTGGCATCAAAACCAGCGTGGCTGACAGGAGGGAGAGAGCTCAATATTGCTACACCACATTAAACACACTCTCTCATACACCTTGGCTGCAGCCCCATACGGGAAACCATAGGGGAGCACATTTTATAGACTCATCTGCTCTCTGCAACCACTGAAGCACACATTAATGTGCGCAATAGTTCGAACTGGAGGAAGACATTAGCGTTTAGCATGTGCAGTTTGGGGTGGAGCTGAGGAGTTCAGAGCCAAATAGAAATGTAATAGAACACATGCATATGCCAGTGCACACTTTGTTAAGGCTCATGTATACACAGAAAGGCGTGGCTCTATCTACACAAAAAGTATTTACATATTTTTATCAACATAATATTTATATTATTTTCTGACCTTCAGCAATATGATATGGCATAGGGTTACCCCAGGTCTACTTTTGAAGCATGGAGAGAATATTTATGAATGTGTTTCCATAGCATTAACTTTTGGAGTTGACCCATGTTATTAAATACAGATATGTTATATGAACCATTTGACCCTTTGTCAGTGATATCACACCAGTAGAAATAGACAAAATGACTTTGTAGAAACACTGTTCAGGAGTCAAGGTGAATGTCACGCCTTAGGTTTGCTTAAACAGCCCATAATAAGCAATACAAATGCAGTCTGAGCTTAGGTTAATAAGTAATATTGATATGGGCAGTGATTTTCCTATCACTAGGCACCAGCAGTGTCAGATACTGCATTTATATATATCATGTACATACATTACATAATAATGATATGATTATGAGCCTGACTCTGGCTATATATTGTCCACTAGGAGCATGAGATAAGGGCTGACTGGGACAGTATATAGTTCAGTGGGAAAGGTTAACGTCCATTCATGCGTCTGTGTGATAGCATAGGCTGAGCTGATAAGTCTCTCGACGAGCAGTGGTGTTAAAGAGAGAAGGAAGACAAGCAAGGCACAAATCGAAGGCTTCTTTATGTTTCTTTATGTTTTCGCTTATTTGATATCTGGCTTTCTTGCTTGCTTGCTTGATGTCTTTGTTGTTCTCTACCTTTCATCTGTAGTGACCATTGTTCTTCCCATTTCTTTCTTGCTTTTCCGTCCCTTTTCTTCACGGGCTAGAATCCAACAGTGTACCAAAACACAAACGTACACGCTGTTCGCCCTAGCAGTGTGATGCTATCTGTCCAGCTTCGGTGTTGCCACTGATTGATTCATTTAATTAGAGTTAGATCGAGGGAAAGGGGTAGAGGGGAGAGAGAGGTGGGGAATGGAGGAAGAAAGTAGGATAGGGAGGGTATGGTCACTCTGCTGGATAGCGCTGGAGATTGGCTCCATTAATCTTAGTAGAACCCCCTCATGTCCCCTTTACACGCTCACTTTGTGACACACTAACATACAAGCATACACACAATATGCACATGCAGCTTCACACAAGTGCAACGAGACAAAAGAACAAATAGGTGACCACATTTCTCTGGCCTGAAGACAGTGCCGTCGAATCACCTGCATGCTCAGTTTTGTGATACACTTAGGTTTGTGAGAGAGTCCGTGAGTGTGGATGAATTGTTTGTGCTGTGCTTGTTTACTTCATCAGCCAAGACCACAGCAGAGACATAATTACATTTCACATAGGCCATCTCTTCTGAGCTAAGTATCATTCAGCTTTGTCTGCAGTATCTCCAAACAATAGCTGCTAACTAGTCCTTTTGTATCTGCATCTGTGTGTGTTTGTGTACTAAGTATCCCCGCACTTGTTATTCATACGTGCATGTATTTGACTTGTCCTGGAGCCAGATAAAGACTGATTTCATTCACTCACTGTCAGCTGCCATAATGCTCGCTGCACTGCAGATTTGTTCAGCTGCCAATGGCCTGCTAATGATGTTGACCTTTTAATTCCATATTCACATGTAGCTTTGTGAGAGAGGAAGGTGGAAACAGGCGTACACACGTCTTACTTGCACACACATAAACACACACCCACACATCCACCTCCAGTAACTGTAATGACACTGACCTTTTTATTTGTGATGATGTGTAGGCAATGTTTATTTGTGGGGGGCTGATCGCTTCCTGTTGATTGGCTCCCCGCGGCCCCCCACCCTCCCCCACACACTCCCCACCATCACGCACACATGCACAGTGGATTACAGCGTTGGGAGGGGGCAGCTTGTCTTTATTGAGGACACTCTCAACTCCCAGCTCCCATCAACAGATCCAGCAATCACAACACAATACACCTGTTAGCTGCCTCAGCCATGCCCCTGTGATGGGACAACAGAAGGGGGGGGGGGGGGGGGGGACATTAGGGTGGTTTGTGTACACAGAGGTAAACACATACACAATCCTCAGACAGAGAGACGCACACTGCTAACATTACCAGAAACAAAAC